GAGCGAAGTCGGAATTCCGACCTCGGTGGGAGAGCGAAGTCGGAATTCCGAGCTCGGTGGAAAGAATTCCGAGCCGGCCTCGCTTTCAGACCGAAGCCGCGGAGCCGGCCTCGCTTTTAGACCGAAGCCGCAGACGAAAGCTTGTGTCACGGGGCGACACGGACCGTGGGACACCTGCGGGCCTAAAAGCGCCCCGGTGACATGCGAGCGGTGACAAGCCGGCTTCCAGCAGCTCCCTTGTCTCAGTGGTTAAGGCGCTGTCTCTGCACCACCCTGGTCCGGGGCTCGAATCCCGCCTGCGACCGGGCAACCTTTGCCCATCAATGAACCAATATTGTTTCAAGCCGATTCAATATTGACTCAAACTTGCCAAGATTTTCGAGCCCTCTGCACGTTCGGCAGGTTGGCGCGTTAGACCCGGTGACAAGTTTGGCAGGTTGTCGGAGGACCTTTGAGCGTTCGGCAGCTGGCGCGTTAGACCCGGTGACAAAGGCGGCGACAAGTTCGGCAGGTTGCCGGGTCACAAGCGAGGACCTCCGCAGGCTGTCGTGCTTGGACGAAAAACGGAAAATCCTGTGAAGAACGACGTTTTCGGGAAGTCGGGAACTTGGCCGTTTTTGCGCACTTTTTCGGTCCAAAAGAGAGCGGTGACGAAGCGGTGGCAAGTGGTGACAAGCTCGGCGGGATGGAACTTGCGAGCTTTTCCGGGCTGAAAACGGAATCGAGAGCAGAGAGTGAGCGTCTAAACCTGTTTTCGGCCGAAACCGAGCGAATCTAGAGGCTGAGGCACCCCACTTGCCGTCTGACAGGAAAAAACGAACTTTTCGGGAATTCGGGAAGTTGGCCGTTTTGAGCACTTTCTCGACCAAAAACGGAGCGGTGACAAAGACCGGTGACATCGGAAAAACGTTTAGCAGGATGGAGAATTTGCCTGTTTTGCAGGGTTTTTCGACCCAAAGCCGAAAATTGATTGGGTGCTGTAAGCCTATGTTCCTTACTACTGGTGACAAAGACCGGTGACATCGGAAACGTTCAGCAGGATGGAGAATTTGGCTGTTTTGCAGGGTTTTTCAACCCAAAAACGAAAATTAATAGGGTAGTGTAGGCCTGTGTTCCAAACTACTGGGGGCGCCTCGCACACCAAAAAGACACGTATGCTTCTTTCATAGGCGCAAGCTTGACTTGAAGCCGCACGTAAGCAGATTCAAGTGCACTCTGTGTCTGTACCACTGTCGAGTATACCACTTCGAAGCCCGGTTCTCCGCGTACTGCGGAACGCACAGAAGCTCAGACTGCTGCACGGCATTCTATCAGCACACCCGCGCAGAGCGGGTTGTTTGTCGATGCTGGCAGCATTGCGCCGCCCAGACGCGCATTAGCGATTTGCGTTGATTGTCATCTTTTTCGCAGCCATTAGTGCGCTCATTTTCTGGAAGAAAGTGCAGTTCCAGAGCTGCCTGACTTGTGCGGATGGTCCAATTTCTACCGAGACCATCGAACTCAACTTACACCACCAAAAACTCTTAGCTTAAGCAATTGCATGCCCTACTCCGATCAAAAAGAATCAAAAAAACTTTTGGAGCAAGTCCTGGGGCTGCTCATCTGGGCCACCACCTACGCCCACAATTGAGATCTTGGCTTGCGTCTTTATGTGCGGTTCGCCACCAGGCTGCGTGATCTTAGTAAACGCTTGCCTTCCTCTCGGCCGCACTGGCCTCGCCCGTGCAGCACCGCATTTTTGTGCCACTGGACTCAAAGGCATTTTGAATACCAACAAACCCCTACGCAGACGCCCATTCGACTTGCCTCGCGTGGTGCCCGTCACAAGACGGTTTGGGTGCGCAAAGCAGACCCCGCTGCCGAGCACACTCGATTGTTCAAAACAAGCAAAGCCAACCTGGAGTGGCTTCTGCAATGCTTTCAAGCTGACTTCCGCGCAAAGCAAGCCAATCCTGGCATAGAAAGAGCCGCCGACGCGGTGCCAAAGGCCCAACGCGAAATACCTTGCTTCAAAACCTTGGCCCAGCTTGCGCTCGAGGGCCAGCAGTGCGCGGCCTACGCCGGCACGGACAACACCGCGTCCGGTGAACAAGCCGTTCACCACAGCGTGGCCTTTGCAGATCTAGTAGCCGCATGGCCTACAAGCACAAATAGGTTAGTGCTAGCATCGCATCCCAGGCGAGCGCAACGTGTGGGCTGATCAGCTCAGCCGCGGAAACACATCCGCATTTGACAGCAAGCCGCATACTCGCTTCAGGTTTCGTCCACATAATTTCTGGTCCCACACATCCGCGCTGTCGTTGCATCCGGCCGACGCACCGTAGCGGCCGGAGCATAAAAGTGCTCCGCAACCGTTTGCTTGAAACCCTGAAGTGGAAGCATGTCAGCGGGTCCGTATGGGGGTGCAGGCGCAGGGAAAGAACATTCCAACATCTACCTACCCCAGATTGCCGCTCGGCACTGCGCCCGCTCGGCACATCTACCTTCCTGGAGTGCCCGCTCGGCACTCCCCCCCGAGGCAAGCTCGGCGGGTTTTTCCTGCAATGCGATCGAGGTAAAGTCGGCCAGCTTAGGATTGTTTGTCCTGCAAGGAGTCGAGCGCGTCAGATCGAAAAAAACTCGAAAGAGACAAACGGTCCGTCCTTGCGGCTGAGGTGCAGCGCTCGCGATCCTCGAGTGAAGGTCCTTCACGTCCGCCTGGCAGGTCGGGTGCCAAAGGTCGAAAAAACGCCAAGAAGCGCGCCTCGAACCCCGCCGTCCACCTCTTCTCGCTTCCCGCTCCGCCCGGAGGGTCGCGATTGCCACGTCCTGCCGGGGACGAAAAGCTCCCCCAAAAGAAGGTGGAAAAAACAAGAGAAGAGAGAACAAGCCTTTGCTGCGACTTCCGGCTCAGGCGGTTCTGCAAGGAGCAAATTTGCGTGTCCCGCCAACGAAAGCCGCGCCTTCTCCACCTCCGCCTCTTGCAGGAAGGCGATCCTTCTCCAGGCGCCGGATTGCCGACAAAAAGCGACATTACTTGCGCAGAGCAACTTGCACAGAGCACTTGCGCACACTTGCGCAGAGCAACTGAATGTTTCTGCAACACATTTTATACAGACGAGCCAGAACACAGTTGCAAGAGCTGCCAAGGCCAGTTTTTTTGAGCGCTGAGCCTGATTGGGTCAAGTTGTGTGTGGCAGTTTTGTGTGTTGTATTTCATCGGGTTCGGCTCATTTGGTTTTCGGCTAGGCGCCCCTTTTTTCGTTTTTTTTTCCTCGTTGCTGCGCTCGACGTTGGCTGTTTTTTCTTTTTTTCCGTGCTCTCAGAAGGCCGCCTCCTTCAAATTCGCCAGGCGACCTTCAACCTCGGGAAGCTCGTTCTTTTGTTTTCCTACTCTTTTCGGGGCCTGTCGTCCGACAGGACCAAGCGAGAGGGGCGGTGAAGGCGCGATTTTTGTTTCTGACTCTGCGCAAGTTGCTCTGCGCTGCTGCCGGAGCAGTCCAGCGTGTCTGATTGCAAGGCCGCTTGGCGAAAAAAAACACACGTTCTTGTTTTAATCGAATGTGGAAGTCAGCAGCTTGGTTCGCCATCGTTAGCCTTTTGAATCGCCAGCGGCGTCTGGAGTTGAAAGAAGGCATGGATGCCTTCTTCCAAAAGAAGCTTCTGCATAAACTTTTGAAGCGGGGTTTTTGGTCACTCAGATCTGACTTGCTATCATTCTGGATCCGCAGCCGGGAAGTTGCCCAGCGTGGAAGCTCAAGATGGCTAACTTGGAGGGCCGCCCGGTGTGCGGAGTTGTCTCCAAGGCTGTGTTTCAAGCCAATTCTGCCCCTTCCATAAACAATTCCACCTGGCTCTCCTCTGTCTTCTCGCAGCAGGTATGTCTTTGAACAGGTTGGGTGCTGGTGCAGTCCAGTTAGTTGGCTTGGCAGCGCGCGCTGGTCTTCAAACCTTGTTGCTTGAATCGTAGCTACGCCGGCGTGGAGCGCAGAAGTGTTCTGAAGTGGGATTTTCTTTGAAAGAGACTGGAGATGAGCTGACAGTTAACTGCAAGACATGTTGGAGCTTAAAGTCTGTGTCCAGCGTCGCGGGATTCAAGCCGTCAACTGACGAGCTGAAGACCAGCACGCTGCTATTTGGACTGTAAGACGCGCACGCGCGTGCTTGCTGGAAGCTTGGATTTGGGTTGTTTCTTGCATGTCTGTGGTTGGATGGACAACTTTACAAATCTTCTTCGCAACAATGTTGTTGTTCGAAGTCGTCTTTGCTTGTTTTTTTGCTCGTGTTTGCTTCTGATTTGTTTTGTTCCCTGGCTCCCTTTTTTGAACGTTGAGTTTTCTTCTTTTTTCGCCCTTTGCTTGGACTTGATGTCGCTGGAGCAGTGGTTTTTGACTGTAATCTGCGTTAGGTGCGTCCAGACCGTCGCTCGACAATTTGGCCCTAAGCAGTTCAACAAGTCTCTGCACAGAAATGGTGCAGTTGCCAAGCTGGTTTTGCTGCTGCAAATTGTGTCAGTTCATTTGTGTTTGCAGCGACTTTTCGAGTCGCGTGTGTTTTTCCTCGTATTTTCGCAATTCCAGGCTGCAGCCACCGCAAATAACAAAGAAACAGAATTTGAACATTGTTTGCGCTACAAAGATTGGATTTTTTGTGTTGCAATTTGTTGGAAATTGCGTAGCTTTTGGGTGCATTCATCAATATTTGACATTCGTTCATGCAAATGCAGCTTTTCAGTTTTCTTGCCAAGACTTATTTCGACTTATGCCTGCACTGATCTGCAGGCATAGCAGCATCGGACTAATTTAGATGTTTGGTTATTCGACTGGTTTGATGAACCATTTGCTCCACACAATGCTGGGTGTTATGCAAACATATCATGACTGCATTGAGGTGTTTGGATATCATGGGCTGAAACATGCCTTGTCACACCTCAGACTTTCCTTCTGATAAGAATGGATTTTTGAGCGTCACTGCTTTTGAAGGCGCAGCCACACATGTCGCACTTCTGATGCTCGCGCATTGGCTCGAAGAATGGGGGACGTGATGTTGGGATGCCAAAGAGGCAGTTGAGGCGGCGGGATGTGAGCCGCAACCTCTTGGCTGTGTACGTGGAATTCAGTGGCCTTAGATTCTTTTTTTGTTTGCGCAAGGGATGGTGTCTAGCTACTTTCGTCATTTGTTTTCAGGTCTTGCTCTTGAAGCTGGGTTGGCTTTCGGATTGTTGCATTGACTCAGCAGAACCGTGATGGAGCTGCTTGTCATGAAATGGGGGGGTGGCAACTCAAGTGTTTCTGCACACGATCCTTCTCACTCGTATCGCGTGGCGTGGAAGCCAAGCCCTTCCGCTTGCAGACACGTGGCAGTTGGGCTGCTCATTGAGTCTCTCAACGGCACCGATCGGTGGCTTCGATTCGGCCCTTGATGTCTTCATATCAATTTCATATGCCCTTCGAACTCTGTAAATGTGCAAAGACACAAGCACACGAGCACAGCTTCTAAGCAGCAATGTCGCAGGGCATGCTTCTTGCAGTCCATTGAAGACCGGAACCAGGCATTTTCTGAGGCTCAGCCAACTCCCACAGCAGATGTCACTTTGGGGCTAGCTCCTCAAATCGTTTTTTTCACCAACCCCATGGCCGGCTGCCTCCCTTGCTCCGGCCCCCTTGCCAGGATCGGCCATGGGCTGTGGTGTCTCCCAGCGTGCCGTGGTGGAGGAGGCTGGAGACGTCCCAAGCGCGTTCGGTTTCAACGGCCCCCCGAGGCTCGGAAGAATTTGTTCAGGCTCAGTACGGCTCGTGCAACCCAGGTGTTCCTTGCTTGACATTCAGATTGGAGATGCGCTGTGAGTGTTCCGCCTTTGCGGCCGCGGCACAACAGTTCACCCGGATGATGGTGCTCCGGATCAAGATCAACCAGGGTTTACAAAGTTTGGTCATAGTCAGAGCCTCACTGTATAGACATTTTAGACTAGAATTTGAGACCGTAAAATCAGCACGCTTGGGTGTTGCAAACCAATGTCAGAGAATGGATGTGTGTGCGGTGTGTGATGTGTGTTGTGTATTGTGTTTTGTGTGAAGTCTTGTGTGATGTGTGTTGCGTGTGCGCGTGTCTGCGTGCGTTTGTGTGTGTGTGTTGGTTGATTGTGTGTGTGTGTGTGTGGTGTGTTGTGTGGTTTTGTTTCAATTAGTGGCTGTCTTCAAGAACAGATGAAAATGGTACCCTCAAAAACAAGAACCATGAAGCAAGCAAACTATCAGGCGAAAAAAACAAAGCAAACAAACAAGCAAACAAATATCTAACTAAACAAACAAACCTGTTTTTTTCTCTTTTTTCTTCTTCTTTTTTTTTCAAAAACAAACAACAAGCAACACATGTCAAACAAATAAACACAGAAACAAACAAACAAACAAACAAACACACAAACAAACAAACAAGCGACCAGACCAGACCCCAAAAAGACCAAACCAAGCTAACGAAAACAACACACAACACACAACACACAACACACAACACACAACACACAACACACACACACACACACAACACACAACACACAGCACACAACACACAACACACACAACACACAACACACGACACACGACACACGACACACAGCACACAACACACAACACACAACACACATAAGACACAACACACAACACAACACACAACACACAACACACGACACACGACACACAACGCACAACACGCAACACACAACACACAACACACGACACATGACACACAACGCACAACACACAGCACACAACACAGAACACACAACACACAACACACGACACACAACACACAACACACAACACACAACACACAACACACAACACACAACACACGACACACGACACACAACGCACAACACACAACACACAACACACAACACACGACACATGACTCACAACGCACAACACACAGCACACAACACAGAACACACAACACACAACACACGACACACAACACACAACACACAACACACAGCACAGGACAGCACAACACAGCAAAGCACAGCACAGCACAGCACAGCATAGCACAGCACAGCACAGCACAACACAGCACAGCACAGCACAGCACAGCACAGCACAGCACAGCACAGCGTGCAGCATATCACACAACAAAACACAACGCAACGCAACGCAACGCAACACAACGCAACACAACGCAACGCAACGCAACACAATGCAACGCAACGCAACGCCATGCAACGCAACACACACGCACCACACGTACGCAACATACATACACACAACTTTGGATAGTCCCCCTGTTTGCGACACATACACAGTTGGCTGCCACTCCCTGCGAGAAGTGCCCTGCCAATCCTATCTTCAGTCCGTTGCGATGCTTCTGACAGTCAGTCGCTCCAAGTCTCTCCGGGACACGTTCACTTTGGCCTCAAGATCTCTTGAGCTGGCAAGAGAAACTGACGACTCCTGCTTCGCGAGAGATAGGCGCTGGGGTTGGATTGCCACCTTTCGCGCCACCGCCGTCCAACTGGAGCAGGTCCAACGTCGGGAGGCCCCCCGGCCCGTGCGGGAGGCGCGCGCGGCTGCGCCGGCCCAAGGGTGTGCCGATGTCAAGGGTCAAGGAGCTGCTTTTGTGGTAATGTTGACCCCACGTTAATGTTGACCCAGGATTAATAAACCCGTCCCATTATTTGGGGGGGTGTTCCCTCCAAAAGTGATGAATCCCCACTAAAAGGGGACACCCCCCTATTAATCAACCAGGGGGTTATTAATCCGGGATAGAGAAATTCCACTTCGCACCGGGTGGGATTGGTACTTTATCCGACTATATGGTTTCATCCATCCGAGGTGCAGGATTTTGCCCACAGCATGACCAACTTGGAGGGCTGATTGTGGTACGACCAACTTGGGGACGGTTGTGATATGAACTTGAGATGCTTGTATGGCACCACGGATCCCCGCTCTCGGACCCATTCGATAACACACTCAAGCCGCCTGAGGGGTCAACAACATATTTCCACACCCATTCAGAGTTGGACTTTCTGCGAGCACGCAGGAAGAGGATCGATCAATTTTTCCCGGATGGCGTGTGGACTAGGTTAGGTCCCAAATTAGTTGGCGGACAGAAGTTTACTTCCGATCTGAAGAAAGGACGCCCTACTGAATTTATGACTTTCGTACGTGGATTTGCCACTTTTGGTAACAAGGCCAGCATCTCCCTGAGGGCTCCACCAGGGTCCCATATCCTCGAAGGATGCAGTCCAAACACAGGTGCCTCTATTTTTGAGGGAACCCTTTTGTGTTTTTGGTTTGCTCAGGAAATCAAAAGAACACGGGGAACCCCTTCTTTGTGGGTTCTTGCATTCTGCGACCCCACACTATCCCACGGGCTCCAAAAGTGTCCAAGCTTGGGCCGTAACGACACTCGAAGTTCTGCTAGGCTGCGAGACCGGCAGAGGCTTCTGAGGCTGTGTCGGCGCAGCGCAGGGGGGGAGGGTGTGGGTGCTTTCGCGCAACCCTGGTCGCGAGGAAGAGCGTGGGGGCAGCGAAGATTCGGGCAAGATAGCAGGCTATATGAGTGACTTGCGCAGACTTGTTGTTGAGTGTTGTGACTTTTCAGTTCGTGCTTGTTATGTGCACGTTTCATGTACTTTAGTTTTGTCTCGCACCTTTGTTTGAGAGGGCTTCCAGGCTGCTGAAGTGGCTGGAGGCAGGTTTATTGACAGCGTTTTCAGTTTCCTTGGCTATTCTGCTCCTTTTGCCCGCGCGCACGCGCTAATGAGCACACCTATCATGAATGTTAGCCAGAATTCCCTGCAAGAAGGAACTTATTGGCCTCAAGCACACGCGTGCGAAGTGGTGGCGCTTATTTTGGTTGCGAGCTGATGCCAAGTGCCGCTTGCCCCCTTTTGACCAGGTCCGCTCGCGGCGCAGAGGAGATTCCAGGACGGTGGACGTCGAAGGGGCTCAAGCGTGCTGTTTTGGAGGGATTTGTTCATTTGGGGTGATTTTGAAATGGGCTTCCCTTGGGGGTGATGCGAAAAGGGGTCATATAAGGAAACTGCTCGGCGATTTCGTTTGTCTTTCGTATGGGGTATACTGCTCCATGTTTAACGTAAAGTCCACTTCGGCGATTCAGCAAGCATGATGCTGAAATCTGCAAGAAGGAAGAAGCAACCACCGGCCTCACCGTGCAAGGTAGTCATACTTGTCTAGATTCATCAGCTGCAGATACAATGTGACGCACAGGACATTGGAAGATGCTGACTATGTTTGCGGACTTTAGATTTTGAGTTGTGGGTTGCAAGATCAAGTGCACACGTTTTGGTGTGCTTGGATGGAAGTGCCTGTAGGTGCTGAGGATGTCCTTTGCGATACATTTTCCATTGGATGTTGGCGTGGATTGCCCAAAGTGCTGCTTTGGACAGTTTAAGCATTCTCTTGGGCACATGGAGGCGTCTTGGCGTGTCCAATCCATGGGATGATGGTATCTTTTACTCAAGTATGTCCAAGTAGCAGAGGATTATGCAAGAGTTCATGCGGTTGTTGCCAGCAATTGTAGGGAGACCAAAGAGGTGTGTGTTTCCCGAATCAGGACCGACGTCTATTCTTCAGAGAGTCTTCTATGCAACCTTCCTGGCGCGTTTTTTTTTTTTCTTCTTCTTCTTCACAATTTGCGCTTGCATACTGAAAGTCCAGGGGGTACGTGAAGACTCATATTGGTGGTGCTCAGTAGGGAATGACCCTTATAAGCCATCCAACTGGTGGTTTCCAAGGGGACCCCTGAGTTCATTCCCTCATTCCCTTCTGAGCATCAGCAAGTTATCTCAGGTAACTTGAAACCCTGGCCCATGTCTCACCTGCCCATGAATTGAGGAGTAACAGTGGCGAACGACAGGCGAGGTTGGCGGATGGCGGGCCCGGGAGGGCGTTTTGGTCTCTCTCGGTATATATATATATATATAGGTTGTCGAATGTGACATGCTCATGTTTTCTAGGGCCACTTTCCGTTGGGTACGGAAAAGGGTGAATCCTTCACAATGACCCTGTTTCTGGCCTTGCCGCCATTGGTCTTTGGCAGGTAAATGTCCCAAATGTGTTTTGCCCAAATCAGTCATTTGCACACAGAAAGAGAAACGAAAGTGTTCTACGCCAACCAGTCAGCACACAACATAGGTCATTTCTGCCCAGCATGCAAGGACAAAGAACTGAGTCAGCAGTGGCAGCCGGCCCTTCATGGTGCCAACTGATTTCTTATTTGGCTTCAACAAGGTCCATGTGTCAAACTGGACAAAAGATCCGGTGGACAAAACAGCGAAAGAAACACCGGCGGGTTTCTTTCGCAAAAATCCGCGTCGAAGGCTCGGCCTCGGCGTGTGGAAGGCCGTCCGCAGAATGTCCAGGCCGGGTGGTCCCCTGTTGTTTGATCAATCTCCCCAGGCCCAGCTTGGCGAAGCCAGCTTGGCTTCAAGCGTGCCCGCCTCTTCTTTTTGTGTTTCGAGGGGAAAGCAGAGGGGGCGGCCACCTGTTTTGAGGCCGACTGGCCCGATGTAGCGATTGCTGCAGCGGTGCTGATGTCCATTTGTTGGTTGCACCCTCTTGATTGGGAATTGGGAAAGTGGGTCCCCCAATTTTTCAGGGTACCCCTTATTTGGTGGTTTTGAAGGGAAACCAACAGGAAAATCACGTTTCTTTTTGGCGGGGGGGGGGGGGGGCGGGATCTCCTAAAATACGGCCAAGCGTGGTTTGGTCCTCCTCTGAGGGAACCTGCCGACCGAATGAATCCATCCGTGAAGATGGCTGAACACCCTCAACATACTTCCAGGATCATGCCTTCTGCTTCGAGTGCGGCATTTTTTTCTGCGTGGGCTCTGCGTCGGGGGCCCAGCGAGTGGCCCTTGCGAACGAGACCTTTGCAAAGATCTGCTTCCGAGCCCAGCCGTTTACGGAGAAGCCTGCCGAATTATTCCTCTAGAAGAAAGTCTTGGGGTTCTGCGGAAATGCCAATAGGTGTGACCACAACCACTTGCTGCTTGCCTTGTTGAGTCCTCTACCGGCGAGTCCTGCAAATGTTACTCTTTTGCGTTTTCAGGCTGCCCATTGCTTCTCCGCCTTGCGGGAGCCATGTCTTTTGCTCGCAAAGGAAAGTCCCGGTTAGCAAGCCAAGCCGTCAAAAAGAGTCCTTCTGGCTCTGAGGCAAGTTCCGCAATGTTCTCAGTGTGGCAGTTCCTTCGTGCAATTCCTGCGGGCGGCGCAGGCTGGTGGTGGGGTGGTGGTGGGAGTTTCCGGGTCGTTGGACTGCAGGTCTTGTTCTAAGCACGCGGCATCATGGGGATGGTTTCCTCAAGCCTGAAGGCACTTTGGACCGGCTGCGGGGTAGGTGACTGGCAAGTACCGACTTTGGTCCATCAGCTGAACCTGTGGGTCTGAAAAGCTACTGGACTGCCTGCCGAGCGCACGTTGGTTCGATAGTGTCATGGCGGGTTGGGCTTTCCCCCGAAACAGCGGGTGAGTTAGGTTTGCTACAGGTCCGACCCCGGATGAAGTCCATTAGGGTGTCCCATTATGGTGGGAAATACAGGGCTTCGGAAAAGAACACATTGTGGTCATTTATATAAAGCATTCCCTTCTCCAGCAGACCAAAAGGCAAGAACCATTTTGGCGGCAATGTTGCGGCGGATGATATGGTGGTCCTCCAGGTTGATCAATCCTGGGTTCTTAAGCTGAATGGGACAGAGGTGGAACTTGCAACTGAAGCTTGACACAATGTGAGTCCCTTGTTTGAAGCCTTCAGACGAAGTCTCCGCAATGGTTGTCATCCATAAGCTTTGCTGGGAATTTAGAGGTAAATGGGCTATGGATTGGTCGTTAGTTCCTTTACTTGCTGGTTCGATAGGATGAGAAATGGAACCCCGATTTACACCATCCCCGAGAAGTTTCCTTTACTCGATCCCCAGGTTTCCAATTATCATTCCAATTCTCGTTCCCTATCGATCAGCAAGTTTCGAACTCGGGTCCAGGATTCGAACTGGATCACAACTGCCTGGCGCCCAGTTCAAGGGACCGACCGGCCGTTTTTGGGCGGTTTTTGGTGGCCGGACTGTGGGCCGAAGGTTCACTTGGTCCAGCTGGCGCTTCGCCTTTTTGGAATTTGTAGACAAGCAGAAAGTGCAGTCGCGGGAAAGGCCCTTGTTCTTTTCTGCTGAAAGGGCCTCTACTCCTAAGTCAAGTCTACTCACATTCGCGGATTCCCACCTCTCGTGCGAGTGTGCTAAATATGTGTTGCTATACCAGTCTTTTGGCCACAGGGCCGGAGCACAGCGATGATTGAGACACAACCCACTGCCAGTATTGGGAGGGCAGAGAGGTTGCCTTGTCGCAACAGGCATCGCAATCTAAAGCAGCCTTTCAAAGGAGGCAGCATGGCAGACCGCTATTTTGTTGGACTTGGACTTGCCAACCCCTCTGACCACTAACCTTTGCCCAGCTCGGCCGACTGAGGACAACCCCATTGCACAAAACTTTGCCTTTGATGCCCGGCGCCCGGCTTTGAAGGGATGGAGAGGATAGTTCTTGATTAGCTTGGGGTTTGTATTGATTCAAAACACACCCTTGTGAAGCTGCCCAACCGGTGTGTCACTTTTCAGGGCCCCTCTCCAAAAATGCATCTTTGTTTTCCTTTTCGTTTTTTTCAACAAATCCACTTTGGGATTCAGTTTGACCGAACACAATTGCCAGGATCAGCTGGAGAACTCCATCTCTGCCTCCTTGGCAGAAACACCCATCCCGAAGAAGCCAACTCAGGCGCGCGCAAGCGCGCGTTGAGTGCCTGAAAGGTGAGGGGGGTGGGGCATTGGTCTTCGGGGTTGATTTGGATTTCTATGCTGACTTACCTTGGTGGCTCCCAGCCATCCAGTTCCTTAGCTTTTTAGCATTTTGGTGTCTAGTGGGGTTTCCATTTAGGCCACTCAAAGTTGAACTTTTAGCGGGGGATCTGAGGACAGCCCAGTTGCCACAGTGTGCTTGTGCGATTGATTGCTGCCACAAAATCACAGAACTATTTCTGCGGTTAGCGTGCACGTTCAGGGCTGGGTTGCCCCCTGCAACAGCTTGACTGACAAACCCCGGCACTTCTCATGTTTGGATTTTTGTGCTTTGGTAGCTCATAATTTGTCCAGTGCTGACTGCTGTGGATGCTGCGTCGTTTGGCCCTTGGGTCCCTTCGAAGGACCTGGCAACCATCAACCCCCCACGCCTTGGGGCCTTGTTTGGCTTTCTCGGTGTCGGTTATGATAGGCCACTCGTGTCTGCCCCTTCGGAGAATCTAAGGGCGGGGGGGTGGTCTGTTGGGGGGGGGGTGGTTTGGCCTGAGGCTTATGCCGTGGTGGTCAAAGTGAGAAACTGGGGTCTCCCTTCACCCGGCGCCCTTCGGGAGACTTTGGAAGACTGGGGCCAAGTCCACGGAGCTTTTGCGCCAGAAAAGCTTCCTGCAGTCGCTGCAGACCACGCAGCTGGACAAAGCAGAGGCATTGGTCGATTTCAAAGTTCCAATGGCCACAGAAAGACTTGCCCATATTCCTGGGTTCCAAATCAATCCTTTAGCCTATGGTGGTTTTTATGCCTGAGTGTGGGTGTCCTATGGCGGATTCGGGATGCCCCCATTGGAAGAAACGTATTCTTTAGGTATGTCTGAGCTCGCAAATTTCATGGGGAGATCGTGTTCAAGCACCCTGACCTCGTTCCAACATGCCGGGAACAAACGGCCAGAGGAGCAGCTAATTGTAGAGGATTTTCCGCACTCTGTCCCAACACAATGTGGAACGGTACGGCTGGCAAGTGGCGGGTATTTCCGGAGAACTCTATAGGGAGCCGCAACTCATAGCACCTTTGTTTGTGTGCACCTGGAGCTTTCATGCAACGGTTGTTGCTTGTTCGTTTACATGTTTCACGAATCTTCTAGGTGCTAGGACCTTCGAGTTGCACGGAGGGTTTTGAAGATCATGTCCTTTTGCTGATGAGATGAGCGGGAGCATTCCAAGCCCCTGCAACAATCTCTTGGCTCCAACATGAGCCATCAGAACTTGTGTAGTTGCTCATCTGGCGACTCCTCTTGGCAGTTGCTTCAGGCTTCCTTATTGCCAATTGAATTCAAGATAGTCAACATTTAACCTTGGGTCTCCCATACAAAATTCAGGATTGCCAATACCAGATGACGTTCTGGGAATCGACACCAGAAGTGAACCTACGAATTTTTTGTTGTGGCAGGTGGAGGTGAGAAGTCGACTGGGACCCTCAGACCCCAGGCCGGGCGTGAAAGAAGCTCTGCTTGCTCCTCGGGATCTTCTGTCCCGAAAGTGGAGTGCTATATATATATATATATATGTATGTAGATATATATATTATATATATATATATGTTTATATCAAGGCCCCGTTTCCCAAAAGGAGATACACACGCTAGCGTTGTGAGGTTTCATGTTGAACTGTGGAGCAACATCTTCGGGGTTTGAGGTCATTTTGAAATGACTTTTGATGTGAATCAGCAAGCGCACCAGCAACGCAGATATCATTGAGTCACGCGCATAATAATTGTTAGCGCTGAACATGTGATCTGCTTAGTAACCAGTTGGGCGTTGGGAGACCTTGGGAGGAGCAATCAATTCGATAGGTTCTGGTTTACTGAGCGTGGTTCCTCAACCAAAAGCTGAAGAAGGGACATGGACCTTGATCTTGTGCTACTAGCGTATCTCTCATGAAGTTGTTGACGCTATTCACTTCAATACTTTTGGCCCGACCTGACGATGACCGAAGAACACTCATAGCTGACTTGGCAGTTCTTGAACTAGTCATAGTCGCCGTCGCTGAAGGCAAGTTGGAGCCGTGCAAAGGAGCAGGAGGTCGCTCGTTCTTGTCATGCTCGTCTCCGCTGCGCAGCGCTCCCGCGAAGAGCCGGCTTCCGTCGACATAGCGCGCAAGGCTTTCGACGCAGTTCTGAAACTTGGCAATCTGCTCTTTCTCGCATCAACCGTCGCCGGCATGACCAGCGACCTCAGGGTTTGGCACCAGCCCTTTGAGATTTGTCAGCAACAAGATCTAGAGGTAACCCACCATTGGTCACCAACTCAAGTGGCAAGCTCCAGCAGTACTGCATGTTGCCTTGGCTATGGCGGCGTTATTAAATCCATTTGTTTAATTTGTGTTGTTGCTTTTCCTTTCTCCCTGATAGGAAGCGGGAAACACCTGCCTGTGCGAGTTTATCATTTTGGCACCTTGCGCAAAAGGAAATGGCAACGGGTCTTATCATTCAAATATGGGCTCATTTAGCCTTTCTGGTTCCCATGTTTGCTTTTGGGTTCCATGTCAATCTGGAGGGGTAGCTTCTCTGCTTTTTCGAAATGAAAGAACGGTTCCCCTCAAACCAGCAAACAGCTGAAAATTGCAGCGTCCCCTTAAACCAGACCAGCAATCTGAAGCTTTGGACACTGTCACACTGTTTGCTTCCACTTGAACTAGACAATCCAGAAACTTTTGAGACATCTGATTTCCCTCAAATCGACAAT